TTCAGCCTGCTACTCTTATGTCTTTTTATTGATGACTTTAGGCCATGTACATTTAGAGTTAATATTAATAGGTTGGCATCTGTATTTGTCATTTTATTTGTCTTTTGGTGATTTTACTCCATGCTTTATTCTGTTCTTATCCATTTCTCTGTTGGTTTTGGCTTTAGGATATTTAGTAGAATTTTTTTGGAGTAGAGGCTTAGTCATAATGAATTTCTGGAGTTTCTGTTTGTATGAGAATGTGTTTTTTGTTTTTTGTTTTTCATAGAGGAAGGAGAGTTTTGCAGGGTAAACTATTCTTGTTTGACATTTGCTGTCTTAAAGTTTAATATGTTGCTCCATTCTAGTCTTGCCCATAGTGTTTCTTCGGAGAGATCTGATGTCAGCCTGATTGGTTTTCCTTTATATGTTATGTGTTTCTTTCTCCTTGCCAGCTTTATTAGTTTTTTCCTTGTCTTGCACTCTTGAAAGTTTTACTATTATGTGTCTTGCTGTAATTTTCCTTTCATTGTGGAAATTTGGTGTTCTCACTTCTTATGTTTATATTCATCTCCTTTTTCATACTTGGTGAGTTCTCTTCAATTATCTCCTTGAATATTTTCTCACATTTCTTTTCCTCATATTGTTAGTTAATTTTCTAAGTGTTTCCTCATTCTTTTTCCTTTGTACTTTTCTTTCCTTTTGTCTTTTGGTTCTTTTTATTTCTGTATCTTTGAGAGTACTGATCTGTTTTTCCATTTCATCAATTTTTGCTTTGTTGTTTTTTCAGACTTCTTTAGCTCATCCATTGATCTTTTGGTCTCTTGCACTTCATTCATTTACTTTTTGGGGACTTAATTTCATTCTTTAGTTCCTTAATTATTTTTCATATTTCATTATTTTCCTTTTTGTCTTTATTTTTTTTTACATAATATGATAGTTTATTTTTACATCATTTTGTGCCTTTTTCCATCTCAGTTGAAATCCCCATGGGCTTCCCATCACAAAATGACCAGTGTGCCATCACCATAGTTCATTTTTTTAAATCTCATTCCCCACTCCACCCCTGTAAAATGTCTCTGGTATATAGTTGTTCATTATTATTATTCCCACACATACACCCCTCTCCCTGTCTTTTATACTCCTGCTATGAGTGAAACCATCCAATATTTTTCTTTTTCTTTCTGGCTTATTTCACTAAGCATGATCCATTCCAGCTTTCTATGTTTTTTAATCAGTATGATTTTAAATCTCTAACTGGCATCCAGAGAAGTTCTTCCATGTTATTGTTGTTGAGTTGTGGTGGCTGAGATTCTTTTTGTGGTGTGTCCGTACCCCCTGGGCTTGCTTGGTTATTTATATTTTCTCTTCTTCCCTCTGTTTGCTTTCTAATTAGCTCTATGCTTGAGACATTTAGCCACTGGTGCTGGCAGGCATCGCTTTGAGGTATTCCTTTAGTGGTGTCAGAAAATGTTTACCCAATTGAATCCAGTGCTGTTAGGCCAAAATTCCACCAGGGAATTGATGCTGTGACTATGTTTGGGCACTGTCCCTTGTGGTTTCTTCCCTCTTGTTTACTCAGAACCAGCAGAGAGGCTTGGAATCCCTGCTTTCCTGCTATCAGGTAGTTGGTGATTTTTTCCCCTAACCCACTAGATGGTGCCAGAGACCACTTGGAGACCTTTTAGACTGGTGCTTTTTCCCTGTAGGTCTCTGACAATGAGAGCAGGGTGGAGTAGAGTGCCTCAATGGCACTAGGAGGTGTGTCTACCTAAGCTATTCCAGTGTGGTGCCTGCAGTGGGGTGGATCCTGTAATCCTGAATTTCATGCCTGGGTTCTCAGTTCTGTAGATCTCAGATCTGGAACATGGGAGGTTTCAATTACCTGGAAGGTCTTTCATTCTGATGTTGACTCCCACTGTCTCCATCTCCCCACAGTCCCAGGTCATGAGGGCAGGAATCTGAGCACCTGCAATCTGCACGTGCTTTTCTGCATGCACTCACCAGCTGGCCTTTGGTTATTTGAGGATCCCTTTCTTTCTCTTCTCCAGGTCCCACAGATCCCCTAACTTCCTCTATTGGTCCTGGGCTTTTAAACTTATGCCTGTTGCTGACCTTGGTAGCAGTTCCAGCATGGTTCCCCACAGGTGTGGTGCCCTTTCTATGCACTATTCTGCTTAGTCTCTAGTTTGTTCTTGTTTTATTGTTTGCTTATTTGCTTCCCCCCCCCCCCCCCCGCTCCTTTCTATTGGTCAAATGTGCTGCCTTTGTGGGTAGGTTAGGGTAGCAGATTTCTGCTGCTTTCTTCTCTTCTCACCTCCTGTTGTTGCAACTTTCTCCCTCACGTAGATTGTCAGCATCACCCTGTTTATGCTATGTGTCCTGGTCTTCATGGGGACCTTGCACTTTTTCTCCCTATTAGATGAATTTATGGAAGAACTTACAGGAAGTGTTTCTTCATCACCATATTGATCAGCTCCTTCTATGATGTTTTTAATTTCAAGAGTTCATTTTCACTTTTTGTCATACTTATTTTATAGTAAACTTCTTGTTCTTCATTTTGGATATATCACCTTGTTTGTGTTGGTCTTGTGCTCCACCTTATTGTGAAGGGTGCTTTCTTATATTTTTGGTAATTCTTGGCTAGTTGCTCATGAGTAACAGTGAGAGACCATGTTAATTTTATTTTTCCATGTAATAAATTACCACAAATTTAGTGGCTTACACAAGACCCATTTATTATCCCATAGTTCTGTAGGTCTGAATTCCTGGCAAGCTTTGCTGACCTCTCTACTTAGTGTTTCAGAAACTGAAATTTAGATATCAATGACCTGGACTCATCTAGCAACTCTTGGGGAAAATCTACTTTCAGGCTTCCTTACGTTGTTGGCAGGATGTATGCATTCCTTTCTTTTGTCCATACTCTATCTTCAAATTCAACAAGTGTTTTAGAGCCTTCTAGTGTCATTAGCTGCTAAGAGAGAAAGATAATCCCACTATCTTAAAATCAAAGATACATAGGATAATAATGGGAGTTGTCTCTCACATTTATGAGTTTGAGGTTTAGGATATGACATCTTTAAGGAACTATACTTTTGCCTACTACAGAAATTTACAAACTGATTGGATGGTATAATTGCTTGTGTAGTTATCTTTGTTATCTTTGACTCTACTTAGAGATGGATGGGCCATTAATTGGGGTATCTCTGACATAAATAGTTACATGTAATTCTGCTTTGACTGGTCACATTACCCAGAGAAGTTCTTTTAATGTCTTTCCTGGAGGGCAAGTTTTTTGTTTATTGGAATATTGGCAACCAAGTAGGGAAGAGGAGTAGGGCTTTTTGCATATGGTATTCAACATGCATATGTTCACTTATACTCTTGTTTTCCACTTGGTTAGCCATATGCTAACCTGTGCCCAGCATTCCATTGTCCATAGAGAGCCTTTCTTTTACACTTGCTAGAAAACACGACTCCAGACCTCTTACATAGGGGAGGCATATTCATCTCAGAGTGTGGAATGGAGGATACTACACAAAGTCCTAAATATTTAATTGCTTCTCAAAATCCTTCCATTTAGTCTTCTTTTCTTTATTTAGTTTATTTTCTCCTTCCTTCCTTCCTCCCTCCCTTCCTCCTTCCCTTCCTTCTTGCCTCCCTCCCACCCTTCTTTCCTTCCTTCCTTCCTTTTTTCTTTCCTTCTTCCCTCCCTCCCTCCCTCCCTCCCCCTTCTCTCCCTTCCTTCCTTCCTTCCTCCATTTCTGTCTTTCTCTTTATTTTTATGTAGAAGAACTGGGGTGTAGGTCAGAGATGAGGGGGTGAAAGGTTTCACCAGAATCAGAATGGGAAGCAAAACAGTTGGATTTACTGAAATACACTGCTGAGTAGAGCAGCAAGCGAGACAGGAGAGCTCTGCTGCATTATGTGTGAGTTAGCTCCATGGCTGGTGTATGAACTCAGGCTGTTATGGTGGGCCTTCAAGATGATAGCACTGAGATATAACACCTAGGCCACCAGGGAGGCCCCTCCTCTTGGTCTTTGTTATTTTAATCATCTCTTCTGACTTTACCCAGTTGTGGAAGTACACAAAATTGCCAGTTTCTGTGTTTTATGAGTATTTTTTAGTATATTATAGGAATGATCCTTAGTTTTCCCTAGTTCATCATTTCAGGTCTGCCAGGTCAGTTGTTTCTAATCAATTTGGTTTCCATATTCCAGGTTTCTAAAATGTTGCTGTTATATTTTTTTTATTCTCCTTATTCTATAAATCCTTATGGATTTATAGTTTAAAATCCATTTATGTGGGTTTTTTGTTTTGTTTTGTTTTGTTTTTGCCCCCAGCAATTTGGGAGTGAATGAAATTAAATATATGGTCTCCATCTAGCATTTTAATCATCTTTCAACTACCATCTAATTTCCCAGAGTCTGCAAAGATATGCTTTAGAATTGTAGGATTGAGAATAATATACTATGGTACCCCCCCCAAGTCATTTTGTCTACTTTCAATTCTGTTCCTTCAAACAATAAGCACTGCTTCTCCTCCTTTCCCCTCCTCTTCTCTGTTCATGCCTAGTTAGATGTAGTGCTTTGCTGTTAGCATAATCCTTCTGCTTAAAGTGTTGGTTTTCAAACTTCATCTATACCTTCTTCAAAAGTCTACATATTCCTTTTTTGTAGGCACTTAATATTGCTAACTGAGTAAACCTTTTTAATGTTTCATGAAACTTAATGACAGTCATAGATTGCCTATAATAAGACTGCATGTGCTGAGATATCAAGTTAGTTAGTCTTTGCTTAAAGACAGATTTCAACAATGCTTGTTAGTATTGTTTTTCTTATGCTGATTAAGGACGCTGGCATTTATATATGTCCGATTAAGAAAGACAAAGACTATAGTGACAAATAACATGTTATTTAACAGCATTTGGAATTTTGGGGCACAGGTATAACTCTGTGAATAAAAAAATTAAAATCTGAAATGTTACATGTATAGTTTGCTTTTTATGTTTAATTTATAGGTCAAATCTGGATTCTTTCATGAAAGTGATTCTAAAGCTGTTGCTAAGTCCATTAGAGATCGAGTCAACCTGATAAAGAAAGCAAGGGATAAGAAGCCAGCTGGCTGTTTGGAAGAACACAGGGATACCCAATACAAGCCTGTAGGGAATGTACTCTCCCAGCCCCAGAATACAACTTTGCCCTCTGCTCCTCCTCAGCAGACTGGGACTGAATGTGAAGAAACTGAAGTTGATCAACATGTTCAACAACAGCATCTACAAAGAGTAACACTACAGCACCACTCCTCTGTTATAGGTAATACAGTTATAATTTATAAAAGCAAAACTTATATAATCATTGTATTCTCTTGTTTTTGAATTGCACTTTTGTGTTTTTTGAATCATCTGTTATCTATCTTTTCATCAGTCCTTTTACAAACCAGTTACTGAAAGAAAACAAGCCAGCCAATTTCTTTATTTTAAAATTAAACAACTGTTTATTGACTTACCCAAGATACAAGTTGACTAAGGATTCTAATCCAGCAAGAAATAAGTAAAATGACTTTTTAGGACCTTCTTAAGGATCTCATGTAAATATAAGCTTAATAAAGAAAATTTGTTACTAAAGGTACAGTTTATTCTTTAAGAAGGAATTTTCTAGATCTTTGAATTTTATACTCACTATAAAATTAAGATAATTTCTCTAATTTTTTTGCTATAATCCATTCTCTCCTCCAGAAGAGTACAGTATTTTCATAGTAGTGACAAATTGTTATGGAGACAACATTATTTTCTAGATAGGTTCTAGGAGAATGCAAAACAGAATATACTTTACTGAATATGATTTTACTGAAATCCTAATGGCAAATATAGATTAGTTAGAAATATACAGGAACTGCTCAGCAAATGGTGTTGATTATTATGCTATTCTTTGTGATTGCTTTACTTTGTGATTTTAGGTCTGCCATATGAGAGTTTGAAAAGTTTGCTTGATGGTTTTTGATTAATTCTGCAGTGTACACATTTTACATAAAGGTATCTCACATTGTCAGAGGAAAAAGAAAATTTAAGGAAACACCATTTCTTATGCCATTTGAATTGAGCTTTGAAATTTCCCTTCTACCTGTTCTTTATTTTCTTTGTTATAGGTGACAATTTGTCTGAGGCAGGACCTGGATCAGTTATATACTCAGATACTTCAAATCAGCCAAGTATAGTCTATTCCTCAGACCAGATGATGGGCTCTCAAATGGTTTCTAACATCCCACAGACTGAAATAAATGTTCCAGGGCAAATTTATCCATCCCAGCAAATTTATCCATCCCAGAAATTAGCGGGACATTGCCAGCAGATTTCAGGGGTGAGGTGAACTGTTATATCTTAAAATATATAATCAACACAGTTTCTGTAAAAGGGAGAGTTTGTCTTTAATCTTTATCTTATTTGACAGGTGCAGAAACAGCCAAAGTTGACTCAACCCCAAATTTTGCGTTTGGTACAAGGTCAGTCTACTGTTTTGCCTGTACATGTCCTTGGACTTCCAGTTGTCTCACAACCCCAGGGTTCCCCATTAACTGTCCAGAAGGTATCAGAGGTAAAGGTAAGATACATTTTTAGAGATTCTATATTAACGTAATTAACTCTGTCTAGATTTTCTGACAGGAAGACTTTCTTGTTTTTTTTTTTTTCTTTTTTTAAACATAAATTTTCGTATTTCTTCATTTTTACTAAGGTGATATTCTCTTACATTATTATTGGCATTTTGAATGCATACTATCCCTTTCCTTCCCTTGGATGTTATCCCCAAAGTTTACCCACCACTAAATCATTCATAGTCTACTGTGCTCCCTTTCCTTTTTATTATCACCCTTCTTCACCAGCTCTCCCACTGGATGCTTCAGTTCTATAAACACTCCCTTTCATGAATTTATTGTAGTTTATATAAAGGTTACTGAATGTTAAAAATTGTTTATTATTTCCTTGTGACATTCTTCTTCAGGATGTGCTTAATATTGTATAATTAGAATTCTGAGACACTTTTAGTTATTACTGGAAATAAACCTGAGAAATCAGCAGATGGATAAAAATTTTATTTAGGGCTCTGACCTCTTTCTCTTGGTAATGATGGCTTGTTCTTTGTATTGAACTTTTCCAGCCTGACTGGAATGTGGAGGGATATTTTTTGCAGTTAATTAGAAATAGTATTTCATAGACTCATACTTTTTAGTACTTTCATCTAAATCTTTGACATTTTGATTAATTTTTATTTCTGTAGGAGAAGAATGTTTTTACCTTTTAAACTTTAAAAGTAAATATGATTTCTGACAATTAAAAAGCAATCTTTATGTTTAATATTATAGTTTATTTTGTGCCTTTTTCCATCTCAGTTGTAATCCCTGTGGGCTTCCCATCACCAAATCATCTGTGCGCCATCACCATAGTCCAGTGCACTTTCCCCCACCACTCATTTTTTATCCCATTCCCCACTCCACCTCTGTAAAATGTCTCTGGTATATAGTTGTTCATTATTATTATTTTTCCCCCTGGTCCTTTATGCTCCTGCTATAAGTGAGACCATTGGTATTTTTCTTTTTCTTTCTCACTTATTTCACTAAGCAGGATACCTTTCAGCTCCATCCATGTTGCTGCAAAAGGCATGAGTTTATCTTTTTTGATAAAAAGCAATCGTTATGTGATTTTATATATCAAAATGATAACCTGGTTCCATAGGTACGGATTTTGGACATATGGCTGGACTTTTCTTTATCATCTTTCTATTTCCTTTCCCCAACCCTGATATCCCCTGCATGTACCTTCTCTCTTTGGAAATGAGATGGTGTGAACTTTTTAGGCATTCTTTGTATATAATTTAGTAGGCAGCAGGTATATCTGTGTCTGATTAAATGCTTGGTATATAGTCAGCCACAGTTTGTCAACAGATTTTAATGACTACCATCTCTGGGAATATAAAGTAAAATAAAATATGGTTCTTACCTTCAGAAAGCTCACAGTCTTGGAGGGAAAAGCATACATGTACTTCACAAATGCCAAATGCATTTAAAATATGTTGGGGGAAATTTAATCTGATACAGTTAACAGTACCTGGTATTTGGCTAGCATATGTAAATTATATGGTACATATCCATAACTGAACTCATGTTGTAGTTTATTTTGTCTCTTACTAAGACTATAATGTAAATGTTTTGAATTGATACATAGGTCAGGTTCAGCCACATAAGGTTATAGGTATGTGTTTCCAAATGTTCAACATCACATATAATCAGGGACATGTAAATCAAAACCACAATGAGATACCACCTTATACCAGTGAGAATGGCAAATATTAAAAAAATAGCAACAACAGGGCCCTCCCTGGTGGTGCAGCGGGTTAAAACACAGCACTGAGAAGCTAAAGCCACTCCACATGAGTTTGATTCTTGCCTGCCCCGGAGGTGATCCACATGGCGTGGCAGACCTCTCCTGACCTGCCTGCTGCTCCCCTCAGCAGTGTACTTCGTCAGTCGGCCTGTTCTGCTCCCCTCTCTGTCTGGTATATCCTCTCACCGCCCCTGCGCCTCTCTCCTGTAGCCCAGTTCTGTATGCACAAGTAAATAAATCTTAAAAAAAAAACTAGCAACAACAAATGTTGGCTAGGATGTAGAGAAAAATGGGTTCTCCTACTGAGGGTTGGAATGCTGGTAGTCTACGCACTATAGAAAACTGTGTGGAGGTTCCTGAAACTTCTAAAAATGGAGCTACCATATGACCCAGCAATTTGACTCCTAAGGATCTACCCAAAGAACACAAAAACATTAATTCAAAAGATTACCTGCACCCCTGTGTTTATTGCAGCACTATTTACAACAGGTAAGATATAGAAAAAACTCAAATGACCCAAAATGCATGACAGGATCAAGAAAATATGTTATATATTCACAATGGAATACTATTCAAAAAGATAAACTCATCCCATTCACAGCAACATGGATGGAGCTAGAAGAGATTATGCTCAGTGAAATAAATATAAGGAAAAAGAAAAATATTGGATTGTTGCAGTTATAGGAGAAATGGAGAGGAACCAAATAAGAGATCAGGAATAAAAATAATGATAAAAACCCAAAAGTAATAGCAAATATAAATCAGAGACATTCTTCAGGGGAGGAGGAAAGAGAAGGATCAGGACAGATCATAAGAGACTATAGTGATAGTGCACAGGTGAATTGGTGGTGACAATATTATGGTGACTATACCTGAGATGAGAAAGCAAATATTGTACAAAATTGAACAATATTGTAAAATATATATAAGCAAATACACTTTGAAAAATCGTGTTTCCACCAAACAGAAAAAAGACAAAATTTGCAGGTAAACTATAGATCTCAGGCATATAGTGGTTGGGGATAGGTCAAAACAGGGGAGGGAACATCTAAGGTGATGATTTACAGGTGACATGGTGGTGGGAGATTTATGAAGACTATACCCAATGGAAGAAAACAACTATCGTACAAAAAATGAGCGATGATGTAAGAAAATTTAATAATGTAAAATAAATATATAGAATCTTAAAAAATGTGCTTCAAAAATAAAAATATTTTAAAAATTATTATAAAAGTGCATATTTAAAAGTCAGCTCCAGAATGTTACTTATAAGTCAGTGAAAATCACCAATTATTTCTCTAGCTACACACAACTTATTGTTTATATTTGGAGCTAGAGCTTCTAGACTTTTCTTTTTTCTTATATAAACATATGTAGTTATGTTTATATAGACATGTCATATACCTACTCTTTTGTAGCCTATCTTTTTTATGTAATAGAAGCCTTATAAGCAAGCACTATGACCATTGGTGCCTTTTAATTAGTGTGGTAGTGCAACCTCTAGGAATTATTGCAGTCAACTTATTTCAGCAAACTCTCTCTTCTCCTTTTTTCAAAAATATAATAGTTTATTTTTTTTTGTTCCATATGAATCTCATCAATATTTTTTCTATTTCTTTGAAGAATGTCATTGAGATTTTTATTGGGGTGGCAAAATCTGTGTATTGCTTTTGGCAGGATGGCCATTTTGATGATGTTGATTCTCTCGATCCATGAGCAGGGGATGTCTTTCCATTTCACGGTGCCTTCTTGTATTTTTTTTTTTAATAATATAGTAGTTTATTTTTACATCATTTTGTACATTTTTTTTTTCATCTCAATTGTAATCCCTGTGGGTTTCCCATCACCGAGTCACCCGTGTGCCATCACCATAGTCCCGTGCACTTTCCTACCCTGTTTTTGATCCCATTCCCCACTCCACCCCCACAAAATGTCTCTGGTATATGTCTGTTCATCATTCTTATTATTTTCTCGCCTGGTCCATTATACTCCTGCTATGAGTGAAACCATCCGGTATTTTTCTTTTTCTTTCTGGCTTATCTCACTAAGCATGATCGTTTCCAGCTCCATCCATGTTGCTGCAAAAGACATGTGTTTCTCTTTTT